TTGTGCTCCAATTTCACAAAGCTCCTTTGTTTCAAGCATTACTGATCTCTTAGCAGAGCTACTACGTAATAGAGTATAAATCAAGTCCCTGGTGTCCAAGGTGCTCATCTCTCGCACTTGTGAAGGTGTGGATGGTCACCAGGGTTGGACAGAAGTAGGATCTCTTGAACAGCCCTCCTGAAATTACTGATACAGCTGAGGCACAGCACAGCCTGCTCATTACAGACTACATTTTTCTAGTGAGAAGTCTGTTGTATCAATCTTATGCCAAATCAGGAGTTTGATTTATCCCTGTTGTAACTCCACTGAGCTCAGTCAAGCTATTTGAGCCATGAATTTAGCTCCACTTTCTACACAGAGAATACTGTTTTTTCCTTTGATACTGCTCCAGTGAACCTCTAAATCTACGAGCACGCATCCTGCTCCAGCAAAGCATGTAAGCACACACGTGGGAAGTATGTGAGAAATCACTGAGAGGGGAACTGGACTCGTTCCATACTTAAACCATCTTGTCGGCCTCTTTCACCTGACATCCTTGCTCATGTTATTCAGTGGGAGACAGTATTCCTTCAAGCATTTGGCTTAAGACAGCTGAAATGATGGCCATTGGGAAAGACTCCCATTGCCTTCCCTGGCAAGTGAATTATGCCCTGGATAATGGCTTGTCTTGATGGCAGTGGGGAGGGTCAGGGAGGATGAGACAGTGAGTCCATCCCTTCTGTAACAAACGTGTCTGCTGCGTCCATATTCACTAGGAATTATAGCAGACACGAGTGATGCCTTCTCCTGTGCCCTGCCCAAAGATCTTCCTACTTAACAACACCACCTACTCCCTCACAATTCTCCCTGCTAACTTCCACCCATGAGTCCCTCCAAATCTCAGGAAAAACACATTGTAGTCCCTACACTAACATTATGGCCAATATCTTTTTTCTCATGGCCTGGGAATATTTTTTGATGCACCTCATCTGGCCTGCATTTCCCTCTCCAGGCCTCTTCTGAGAACTTACTGGACTCTGCAGCACCTTTTTCTCATGCTTCTCATTCATCAGGGGAATGGTTTGCATCTGGCTGGGTGCTTATATTCTCATTATTTCCCATGGCTGTTACCCAGCCATTACCTGTTCTGGATTTCACACCAGAATGACAATTTGTCTGAAAGATCCTATTTGCTATTTACGCTACTTTTGCTACTTGTCTAGCAAACATCTTGCAACATCCCTGCCTAGGTCAACAGTGCCAATGCTCTGATCACGCAGTGCCTGTATCAAGGCTCACACACACTGTCCCTGTTTTAAAATCCCAGTTGCTCAGCAAAATTTTTCTGCCAATATATTTTTACGATGAACATCATAATAATTTCTGCCATCCTCTGCAGTAAGAGTGAACACATTATAAATATTTCTTTCCATCAGTTGATTAGCAATTTTACATTTTCATAAGGATCTGCTACACAGAATCTGTTCTCTTTCTACTTCTCTCTCACCTGCCCCTCTTCTTAGCAAACTTTCAGTCTTAGGAAGGCTTAAATCTTCAGATCCAGGGGGACGATAGTAAAGGGTTACTGCGAGTCACTCTCTTCAAACCCTGAACAAGTGACTTTGTTTTAAAGCAAATAAACCAAAGGCCTAGCCTCCCTAGTTATTCTGTCTTTGCTCTCTGCAAAGCACCTGCCTAGATGCTCACGCAAGTTTCTGGGACTCTCCTTTCTGGGCACACCTGAGTGCACATCCCCACAAGGACAACCCCAGGGCCCTCCCCTGACATCTCAGGCCAAGAAGTGCAAGCAGCACACAGATCCTGGCCATCCCCTGCTCTCGCTCAGCAGGACCAGGCCTTTTCAGGACCATAGCTTTGCTACAACCGCTTTATGGCCCTGACTGCAGCAGCAATTGTTTGCGCTCCCTTGGAGTGGTTTCCCATGCACCCTATTCCTGCTCACTCCTTCAGCCACAATGCCCTCCCACCAGAAATATTCCCCCAGCCCATACACTTCTGGAGTTTCTTTCTTACACAGCCTCTGCAAGCCAAGAAATCTGCACAGCTCTATTCAGTAGATTCCTGACAGTCTTCAAAGGATTGCTAATTCCAGCCTCCTTAAAGAACACGGAGCATTCGCTCCCTTACGCTTTTCTGCCTTCCCTACTGCGAGCCAGCCAGCACCTGTTGAGCCATAAAAAACACACCAGCAACGCAGTACACCTGAAACTCTCCGAAACTGCTGCAGTGCTGCCGGCAAGGAGACCACACGCTCCACGGAAAGGCCATCAAGCTGCTAATTGCTAATGTAAAGCTGGCTTTCTGGAGGAGATGGGTGTGCGCCTGGCTGGCTTGTATTAAGGGCTAACAAGGGTTAACAGTGCGTGTTCTCTCCATCTCACCCCCCCCTCCTCACTGTGCATTTCTGTCAGAGAGACCTGCTCTCCGGCCAGCCACCGCTGGGATTAGGCTGCTCCAACAGTCTGGCTGACACTCCGTGCAGGAATAAAGTCCTGCTGTCTGGAGGCAGCACACTCCAATGTGCGTCGCAGCCCTCCAGAAGGAACTCTAGAACTGACAAAGCAACAATCAGGACTTCGAAGATTTCAAAACTATGCAAGTTTAAAATAATCTTTGAAAACACCCAACTTAAGAAAACACCAAAACCCTCTGAGTGTTTTTTTTTTTATTTTTCTTGAAGGACTGCAAGCATTTTAGTTACTATGTCTGTTCAGGAGCCATATGGAAAAATCAGTGCTGTCCTGTTAAACTGGTTGCACAGTTTTGGTTTTCATCTGCCTACAGAGATGTGAAACGTCAACATTGTTTTATTTTATGCTTTTTCGGCAAAGCGAGCAAGAGGTCTGGGGATCATCTGGCCAGGAACACAATAGGTAAGTGGAGTATTTTTTGTGTAACATATTTCCAAGAGTCTGAGAATATACTGTTTGTGCAATTGAGTGAAATCAGCCTTTAGCATGATGTTCTCTTTGGGATAAGCTGATTATAGGTTGGTTGGTCGCTTGGTTTGTTTGTTTTCCTGCACAAGAAAAGCTCAGCTGCTGTGGTATCAGTGTGGTTTGCAAGATCCCATCATTTAAGTGGCAGAAAGACCGCTTCTTTTTTTTTTTTTTTAATCCTCTCTGAAGAGCAGAGCAACTCAGATTCCACTGTCAAAGGTAAAACAAAATATTTGGGGTTATATTTTGAATCTGTAAGCTATAGTTAGACTACAGGAATAACAAAGTGGCGAAGAAGTGACTGAGAGTCATAACGAAAGCCCTGCTATAAGAACATTAAAAATGGAATTGATATAATAATCTTCACTATTATTTCAGCGTGTTTCAGATGGTTGATTAATCTTCCTTGCAGGCAGATGCTAAAAATATTACAAAGAGGAAAAGAGTGACAACTTTATTAGGATATGAAGTAGAACATTCAGATGACCTGGTAGTGATAATTTCAGTAAAAATCTCACTGATACTAAAGATGTGCGTTACTTTGGGAATCACAGATTAAAACAAATTTTGTACATAAGTCTCTAGATGTATTGACTACTATGTTTAAACATGCATGTTTGAAATGGATTTATAAAGGCACTCGTCCTTTTATAAAGTCACTTTATCTGTAATGGACAGCAGGTCTCCTGAATTGTAGACATTTTGACTGCTTAAGATCTTCTGCACATTTGTAGGTACGATGAGGAGAGCTGATCTCAGAAACAAGTAAAAATTACAAAGGATTGAGCCTTTGTCTTGTATGTTCTCTTCTATCATTAGCCAATAATCAGATTTAACCAGGGTCTTTATCCTTGCTGCTTGTAAGATGCAATAAGCTACTTTTTTTCCCCTCAAAACAAGAGAACTTGCTCACAGAGCTCCCTCTGGTTTCCAAATCCCTGAGCTACAGCTGGCACCTCTATTGAAGTTCTATGCCCTTTCCACTTTTGTGCTTTCCTTTCTTTCTGAAACTGGATATGGCAAACAAAAAAGTTGTAAGGATAATCAATAACCTCCCATAGCAGTGTACCACCAAAATTTCTCATCCAAACTGGAGTCTCCTATCTGTGTAGCTCTGTGCAATGTATGCAGCACAGCTTAAATAATGTCAGCATTTGCAGAGATGATTTTGGGGACTTTTTGTGTACATTTCTTTTATAGATTCCAAGCTGATAACAGAGCCTCCTGGCAAAAGGAAGGGGCATACACGATTTTTAAAAATCTCTTAACAGAGTGAATACAATAGAGCTGTTAGAGTTGCAGCGAGCAGCAATTGCTGAGATGGGCTGGAAGTGATGTAGGTGTGAAAGGGATAGGCAATACAATAACCTCAGGCTGATTCATCCAGCTGCCCTACAGTAAGAAAGCCTTCTTCCAAATGAGATACACAAGGAGCTTAAAATACTCCTAAGTATCACTTAAGGGATTCTTATCCAGGGTCCTCCACTTCTCATCATACAACATCTTACACTGCTCCAATTAAGTTTTCTGATCCTCTTCTCTACACATACCTACAGTCACAACAGATGAAATCGTAATTAAATGATCTCTGACAGAACAAGCAGAAGCAGTGTTTGGGATATAACATGACCTCCTGTGAACTCGAAAGTGACAGTTACATTACGAATAACCCAGCCTTGAAATTTATCAAATGAACATTATAAATTAGGAAAAATATTTTAAAGGTAATTCTCCATTCATTTTGTCAGCAGTGAAAGGTGAGGGTTTTTTATAGCTGTCTTGTGATACTGCACTTGTGCTACACTGACTATATTTTTCTATAACAAAAGACTTCGTAGCAGCTTCTTTCATTAAATCTTTGCAGAGACATCCTCTGAGCAATATTCCTCTGTGAACTTTAAGCAATTTAGCAAAATGGAGACTGGCATTGTTTGAATGCCTGGCTTGCTGTGATTATGCTAAATACCAGGAAAGGCACAGAAAGAGAGGGTCACTGATTATTTTCTCTCCCAAGACAGCAGTTTCTGTACACTTTTGTCATCTCATCTCAGAGTACTGAAGATGTCCTGGTTCTGGACTTTTCTGCCTCTCCATCTTCTCATGGTGGCTTGCTTGTGTCATTCCATAAAAGCACCCATCACCAGTTCCCAACAGAGTTTCAAGACTGACCTCTTCAATTTCTACCACTCCCTGATACTTGCTGATGGTAAGGAAACTACAATTCACCTGATGAAGGATATACCTAAAAGGTAAGGGCAAACCAGTCACTCCTCAGATAATTCGCTGTCACACTGGGAGCTGCACGCTACCACTGCAAGCCAAAAATTGCTGTGCACCTGCAGAGCTCTCTCTGTGTCCACTGAATTTCCAGAGAAATGCCCTATTGCAGTTAAGGTCAAGTGTCGTAACATTGCCCAGAATCTGGAAAGAGCCTCAGATGAAGTTTGGATTCACAGAGGCATTTCAGGCAGCTTTCTGTGTGGTGTTTGTCACAGCAGCATCCCCCCAACGGATGGGCTCCAACAGCAGTCATGTCACACAGGCAGCCTGGCTTCAGAACTGCAGGGACACAGCCACCCTCCTACATTCATTGTAAAATACAAGAATTTTAGCGATTAATTATCCCAAATTAACAATTAACTATCCCAAAAATCAATAATATCTGCAGAGACATCAGAAAAAAAATCTACCAGTGTCCTGCATGCTGGAAGTGTTTTTGTTGAAGGGCACTAAGGCTTGCTAAGATCAAAATTCCACAGATTCTTCGCTTCCCCAAATATCTGCCAAGTTTTCTGCCATATCTAGATACATAGGTGATCTAGTTATTACACCTGGCACGGCATCTTGGGTAGCAAAGCCTGATCTGGTAGTTCGGGAAGAGACACCTTCCAAGTGGTTTAATCAGAATCTGCTCTGGCCAGTGACCAACACATACAGATTCTGACATACATCCCGAGCAGAACGTTCGGTCACGGAGCAGGGAGTGAGCCAGATGGTTCAGCCTTGATATGCACTGCACAAGAAGAAACAGGAACGTGGCACGTGTTATATAATGTGACGGTGCTCCGAGCAAAATTAGGAGCTCTCCTTGTTAAAGGCAAATGGATATTGAAATCTCTGGGGAAAGTGAATTTTGCTGTGCTCTTGTGGCATAACAGTAAGACTGCAATTAGGAAGCAAAAACCCGTTCAGTTTTGATGCTCAGATAAGGACCTCATGAATCCCAGAGTCATCCAAACAGGAAACCAAGAGATGACAATTTTGGCTTAAAGTAAAAGACTCAAGAATGTGGAGCTGTTTCCAGTGAAGCTTGACTTGGGCCCAGCAGCCATATCCTGAAAGCAAGCCAGACCTCTAGGCTGACATGATCTATCCATAATGACTAGGCTGCCTCACCAAGGCACAAAGAAACCTCAAATTGGCTTCATTTAACGGCAGAGTGACGGGCCTAAGTCCAAAAATGTCTGTGGCTGTATACAGTCCGTATGTACCAAAACAACAGAAATACACAGAACACCAGTGGAGTGAGACAGGAGGCTGGGCTTTACTGTAAATAAGCAGGAATCAAAACCTGAGTAGACAGATGCTTTGAATACAAAGCACATGCTCAGCAGCCTTTGTCATGAAGGCCAGTCAGTTAGAACCGGCCTGGATGAAACTGCCACTGACACCTGATAATCTTCAGGATCAGCTAAAACTATTCCGTTATACCCACTTCATCTGACACCCAGGAAGATCTAGATATGCAAGCACATGTGAGGGAGTATGTGCTTTAAGGGCTTTCACTGAACTCCAGTCAGGAAATCCTGGGAAAAAGCATACCAAATTCCTCAGACTTAGCCAACAGGTTGGTTGGAAGGTAGTCAGTTTATCACATCCATCCTCCAAAATGACCACGTGAGTACTGAAATATTGTATTTGCCTGAAGTGTATTAAAATTCAGTGGGAAAAATACTGCCTATGTTATGTGGATAAAACTTCCAGCGAATGTCTGCGTTAGATAAAAACAGGGCATGTGTTCTTCCCACAGCTGTAGATTTCAGACATTCACCGTCCCCTCACATTGATGCATCTCAAAAGGAAGCAGTCATTTCTTCTCACAAGGGAGTGAGCCAGGACAAGGAGTCTCAGGCAGACTTGATTTCCTGACACTTTCCCTCTGTTTTTAATCCACGTTTACAGGTACTACTTTGTTTTGGAGGAAGGCAGAGCCCTTGCACCTTTCACAATAACGGTGACCCCCTGTGATGTTCCCATCGAATGGAGCATACTTGTGCACAAGGCTTCAGCAAGTCTCCTCGGAAAAGCAGCACGAGGTAAGACCCTTGGGCTGCCTGAGCAGAGGCAGGGAAAACATGTTATTTGTGGTGTTACAGGAAACTCCCCACAAGCTTAAACATCCCATGCTTCCCTCTTCTATAAACTGCCACGGGCTAAAGAGGACATCTGAAATGTGGGAACCCATGGGATTTTGCTAGCAATGGAATGAAGTAAATTAAGGATTACATCTGAAAAAGTCAAAATCACATGGTAATATTTGGGAACAACGCTGTGTGCTCCGCAAACATGGATCATCTTCATAAGCTATTTGTACTGCCCCAAATTTCTCTCTGATGCCACAGGTCTTTTTCTTTGGCTTAAACCACTTAAACCTGTCATTTTGCTCCCCACAGTGATGTGCAGAAAGTTAGCAGGATGTTTTTCTGGGAATACCATCTACCATGGCAATGGGCATTGCACTGCATTTAGCTCAAGAGGAAATTCCATTCTCTTTCATGATTTTTTAAAATTAATTTTTCAAACTAAAATCTGAAAGCTGCCATTAACAAGTTCCTACCTGTCAGGCAGGTACACCTGACTAAGGACTTGAAATAACATTCCTTAGAAGTAATAGATTTTCCATCTTCATAAAAGACAGTCAGAGGCACAAAACTAAACCAAAGAAAACTCCTTTCTCTGAAAGTATGAGTCTCCTTGAAGAAAAGTACCCAGAGAGGGAGCCTTTGAAAGAAGAAAATTGTAGGGACATCAGGCACAATACAGGCCAAGCTCTCGCAAGTTGTGGTGTTACGTTCTATTTGAAAACATAATGCTACAACTGCACTGTGAAAATAAAAGCTACTAAAATTTTATTTTAATAAATTGCCAGTAGCACAAAGTATTTTTAGTTATAATTGTTTTCAGGAAGAAAATTGGATGTTCCCCGACATACCAATGACAAAGTATGCGATGTGCTTTTTTTGATGTCTGTTAAAACACGTTACAAGTCTGATTTTTGCCTGCAGGTGATCATGAGACACAAGAGGTCTCAAAATCTCAGAAGGCTCCAGGCATGGTGTCCACCGTTTTTAGCTATAAGGGAAACTCTGTAGAGACTTACATGGGTATGTCTTCTCATTCTGCCCTTTACATGCTAGAGTTCTTATCCACTGAGCGAGACACACACATTACCGTGTACTTAACTACTGACACAACATCAGGGCACCTCTATCCAGAACTTCCAATGGATCCACGCATAGATGTTATTGGCGTTGGGCATACAACAGTGACTCTGACCTGGAAACACAGTCCCTCTGTCTTGCAACATAGAGAAAACATCCAATACTGTCTTCTAGTTAATGAAAAGCACAACTATAAGAGCTTATGTGCTGCTGAGACAGCAATCAGGTCCTCTGGAATGAAACTGCCACCTACATTAGCTTTGTCTCTCTCTCCATACCTTTTCGAACCGCAGCAAGTGATGATATTGTCCAACAGTGAACTGAGCATCATCAACAAAGCAAGTAGTGGGGAGGTCAGGCAGATATGCATGGGGACCAAGAACACTTACACAGTGCCCAACCTCAGTCCCAGCACTCAGTATTACTTCGATGTTTTTGTGGTCAATCTCCTCACAAATGCCAGCGCTGCTTACACCGGGACGTTTGCAAGAACCCTGGAAGAACCTGAACCCAAGGTGATGGAGCTGAAAGATGGGAAAGTGATCCAGGTTGTCCTGGATGGGCAAAACCAGAAACTCTACAGCCTGCGGTACCAGGCAAGGCACAAGAAAATACAATTCACCTTTCAGTTGTGTCGTGGCCAAGTACGCGTTCACATAACAAAGAATGGTAGAACAGTGGCATTGGAGAACATCTCAGGGCTGAGGTATTTCTCACTGAAGGGAAAGCTGCTGGACACGTATCTGGTGCAGCTGAGGTCCACAGAGGAGTCTAACTCTTCTGTGAAAGTACAGGTGTCCCCTCAGTTCCACAAGCCCTTATTCCCACTTCTTCCAGAGAGCTTAAAGATCAAGTCCTTCAGTAAACTGAGGACCTGCAACTCTGTCACCATTGCCTGGCTAGGAACACAAGAGGAGAGCAAGTACTGTGTGTACAAGAAAAGGATTGAAGAAGATCAGGTCTGGATGGAACTGCAGAGTGTGGACAGGTGCTCTGGACCTGAATCTCGGCACAAGTCAGAGAAAGTGCTGTGCAAGTATTTCTACAATATAAATCTCCAGCGAGCTGTCACCACAGAGACCATCAAAGGGCTGGATGCGGGGACGCTTTACTTGTTTGATGTTTATCTCTTTGGGCCATCTGGCATCCCTGTCAGATATCATAGCAAAGTTGTGAAGACCAGGAAAAAATGTTTAAGGTTTTAAAGAAACGTTTTGAAGAGAGTGATTGAAGACTATTATCAAAATCTATGCCAACACATAGCCTGTGCAGTTTAAAATATGCTGACTCAAAAAATTTTCTATGAAGGAAACAGTTGTCTAGATCATTACGCTTACTTTTGCATCTTCTCTCCTTTATAAGTTCTTTTTTCTCCCCTTGGCTGTCTCATTCAGACATCAAAAACAGACTTGTGAAACAAATCCATGCACATGGAAATAAAATACCCACAATTGCACCCATCAGAAATAGATTGGTCACCTAAAATGCTTCTGAAATCCAATACACAAGCAATGGGAAATGCTTCTTAAGAAGCACACATCATTATTTTAAAGTCCCAGAGAGTTTTCTGCTTGATGTAGCAGCTAACAAGGAACTGAGAGACCCCACAAGTCAAGCTACTCTTGAGAAACTGAACTTCCCTGCTGCTTGAACAGGAACAGAGACAAAAAGAATTTTAAAAACAGTGGAATTGGTGTAAAGCTCCACACCCTGAGTAAAGCAGGCAGAAATACATCTTCCCCCATTACCTGCATGTTCGCTTGGCTTTCATTTCTACAGACTAACTATGCTTGACTAGAAACAGGCAAAATTCAGGCCAGGAACTGGCTCTGGATCCAGCTTTTTTGGAGAGTATACACCCACACTGCCGTGCTGCTGCCCATTAATGAAAGCAACAGGTAAGGAATCTGGCCATAGAAGGAGGTTTTTACCTGCAGTCTCCAATATCAAGCCCACATCTATCACCATGTGACTCCTGAGTGTAATACACTCACTCTTTACATTGTTAACCCAACCTACATCAAATGAATGCATCACTTCAGTAGAAATTAAATGTGGTTTTCCTATTAAGTATCATGGAGGGAAAAATGTTTGTTGTGAAAATCCTGACAAACACTTTTTGTTGTCTTGTTTACTTGAGTACCTTCCTTAAATGATGAGACATAGCATAAAAATAAATTTTGAAAAAAATAAAAGTCTTCATAAAAACCCATTACACTCAATTTCAATTATCAGCAGAAAATATTTTGCACATGGGCTCTTGGTAGATCTGGTATTTACATATGAAGAGATACGAGAGATTTGCTGACCCAGAGGTTGCCAGAGAAATCTTGCCTGCTGTAATTCTTTTTCCTCTACGCTTACACTAAGCAAAGACATAAATGATTAATTCCATTATTGCATATTCCAGAAGTTTGCTTGCAATTCAGGGTCATCAAGGCTGTAGTTGACTCTGAATAATTATACCTCCAGGCATGCTTGGAGGCACTTGGTAAGGACCGAATCAGTCCCCTGGGCATACAGAGGGTTACGTGTTCCCTGCTCCAAAGACTTTACAGCGCTGCGCGCCACGTACAGTGCACGCTACACATCAGCAGACTCATTAATCCCAGAAGGAGGGTTCTGGCCTTCGCAAGGGATCAGCTGCAATAACTGGGTTTCGGCTAGGCTTTGCATACGTTGCCACAGCAGGAGCAGAGTGCGCCGTGATCTCCTCCCCACACTCTCCCAGCCTTTTGGCTTATTACAGAGGCTGGCAGCTGCACCGCCTTCTTTCTAAGGCAAGCTTTCTCTTCATTTTGCTCCTGCCAAAAATAGTCTGAGCTCAAAGAGCAACAGAGGTCATCTCCACTTGGGAATCTTAATGTTTTCTTCTGCCTTCCTCCTCAATTTCAGGCATTTATATTCTGGATGAACTTCACTTAGATGCCCTACAAATGACTGTAATCACAACCATAATAATAATAGAGGAGGAACAGGAAGATGGGTTTAATTGCAGATACAATATATTCTTAATCCACTGCCGTCAGTCTGTCAGAGCATTAACCCTTGCTTTTGCCCTCTGTACCCAAATGCCACAAAAATGTCACTTGGACAAAGATACATTGGCACCTTGCCAGACACCAGCACCTCTACTGAAGAGTATCGCTCACGACAGAACTGGCTTCAGAATTCTCATCAAAACCTTGGTGTAGGGCTGTAGCCAAGAGGCCTGAGGAAGGGATAGGAGGACAGCATGGGAGAGGGCAGGAAGAGCTGAACAGTCAGAGGTGGTACATAAGCAAAGGTTTGGTGTAGCACTGAGCTGACTGTTAATCAGAATCTGGAGGAAAGGCAGTGCAGGTTTGGAGGTCAGCTGACATTTCAGGGGGACTTTGAGAAAGAGATTGCCTTCCTCCCAGCTTCACCAGCTCCTCTTCACTCCACACACACCAGCTACCGCTACGTGCAGAAGACTTGCTGAGGCAGGACCAGTGGGGAGCTCTGAAGACCCCAACTTACTGCTGCTGCAGCCCAGGCTGTGATACAGGTGGAGCAGTCAGCACCGATGCTAGTCCCTTGCTCACGGGGGGAGCTGTCACCCACACATCCCAGTCCCTCCAGCAGCAAAGGCCCCCACGCACAAGAGGGAGAGCTCGGCTGTAGAGAGAAATATGCTGTTCTGTCAAAACCCATTGCCTCTAATGCAAGCAGAGCAGGCAACCTGCCCTCCAGGTAGCAGCCCACTTCGCTTCCATGTGCAGCCAGCCACAGCCTGTAACGCAGACCCCAGGAGCAGCAGGGAATATTCCTCTCCATTGCTCTTTCCACCATGACTCTGCCTGTGTGCGCCAGACTGCAAACCTGTTCTCGGTTCGCTTGTGCCCATGCCCTGCTTACGAGCAGACTTTGGGCACTCTGGTTTTCAAGCTGGGTGTCACTCTGCTGGCTGCTGCCCTGGGAGCAACATTTCAGACGTTTATCCACAACAAAACCAAAGGTGCCATGTTACACCATTAGTGTTCTTCCTGCCCTGACCAACTGCTCATGTGTGCAGATCCCTGCCACAGCTGTTTGGCATCTTTCCATCTTCTCTCCCTCCTATTTGACTAGTGCTTGCCTACTGCAGTAGTCTGACTATAAACATTTCCCAAGCTACATTCAACCCCTTCCTTTTCTTTTGCAGATCATTTACAGTAAAGTCCTCAGCATCATTATCAAGCCAAAGTATTTTTCCTAGTGTTCAGTGGTGGGTCCCAGCTTTTGTGTGCTTCCAGCTATCGTTCCTCAACTCCTGTTCCAGCTGAGATCAAAGCCTGAGGCCATGCATCCATTCCCAGCGTTTTTACAGAATTGCTCCCATTGCTGAGTCACCCCTCCAACATGGGAAGTGGGGGTCAAGGATATCAAAAACAGGGAGGGCAAGTAAGAAGATAAAACAGGTTTCATCTCCACATCCTCTTCCCCCTGTGGGCTCAGCCCCACAAATCACCACTTGCATTCTGGAAGTGAGGTGCAGGTATCTGGAACAGTGAAATAATGAAGGATGGGCTTCCATGTTTGCCACCGTGTATGCCCAAGGGCCACAAACCAGTACAGCAAAGGGCTCTTGAGCACCACTTCCCAGTATTTCATGCAACTGCTGTTGCTGGAAGCTTTGGAACCTAACACAGTAATAATTGCTGAAGTCACACACTTTGAAAGATTCAGCTGCCTATCTCCATTGTAGAGGTTTGACGCTGGGGTCAAGGACCGATGACATTTTTAAGTTAAATATTAACTGACATGCAGAATCATTTATTTCATCATTCCTTTTTCCTCCTGTATTTAACAGTCCATTTATTCATTCCCTGTTACTCTGAGTTTCCTAACGAATGTAAATACCCTTCAAATTGGATCTGGTAGTCTTTTAGAAATTGTTCCCTAACTGCCCAGAAATACACTCAAAGATACAGTCACAACTTTGGGCAAATAATGTTTTTTAAGATTTATTTCATCTTTGTATCTTTCCATGTTTTTTTCTGGCTGATGCCTTCCCACTCGGAAGACTTGCTTCTAGCTTCCCTAACATGTTAAAAATAGTCTTGCTATTTTGGCCCCAGGTGCTGGCCTGAAATCCTGCTCACTAATTGCTTTCAAACACAGAGCTGATGTGTTTGTTTACATGTACACACATCACCCCCGTTTTGGGCTTTATTACTATTAGTTGTTGGGGTTTGGTGGGTGGAGTTTATGAAGCACGGACACTGCAGTTAAACATCCTGGCCACACACAGCTTTGCACAAGGCTTAAAATCTAATTTTGAAAGTCAAATAATCACACTGACAGTGAGCCCAAGCCAGTGACCCCAAAGCGCCAAAGGCTTTCAGGTGCTGTAAAAGCAACTGAAGCTCTCTGGCATTTAGAGAAAAATGGATGACTTGGCAGCTGAACACTCATTCAAAACAACAATCAGGCAAACCAGAATAGATTATTTTATCTTTGGGGAGGCAGTGGCTTGTCAGTGTTACCTATTGCGCACAAGCTGGATTGAGAAATCAGTGTGACCAAGCACTGTGCTTCTCTTTCAAATCAACAGGTATTTCCTGGGCAAGCCTCTCAGGAAATATTAAGGAATAGCATTGTAAAAAGCAGCTGAATTTACGAGAAGAGGCACACCGTAAGCATGTCACACCCGAGTGGCATTCTTCTGCAAAGAAGCGTGCTGCGGGATGACCGAGGGATGCGTCAGGGCTGGCAGCCGCTGCTGGCGGGAGCTGCCCGGGAGGGGCTGCGCACCCCCAGCTGCCCAGGCAGAGCACGGGGGGGGCACTGTCAGGCTGCCTGAAACGCAGGAAGTGCTTATGAGGTACCGCTTATCGGGAGCAAATATTTCTACAAATCTAACCAGGCAAGCGTCTTGCTGATAAGATTATTAAGGCAGAAAGGGTAGAAGAAAAATCCAAGGAGCTTACTTTTTTTTTTTTGGTCAAGTGTTCCGTGTTTAGGGTTTTTAAAAATTTAAAATTAAAGGGCATAAAAAGTGACAGCCAAGGAACAACAGATAGGCACTTACTGAAAGGACTATAACACCGGTGCTCCCTGTGCCTCCAAAAGGTTTGAGACTGCCATCAATGAAGGGGCCAAAGCTTCCACAAAACAGAAATACAGTGGTGCCAAGGGCAATCGCAGATTTGAGGAGGTTAAAGCAGAGACATTTAGTTCAGGCACGATCTACCCAGCAAGT